GGCATATTTTCTTTTATTTGCTTGTTTTTTATTTTATATTCTCAAGCATAGTATTAGGTCGTATGAATGGCATCAAGTAGTTGAGATTTACTTTATTGATGTGTTATTTATTTTGTTTATAATAAGACTATCTGTGAGTGATCTTGTTGCCAAAAATATAAGGGGTGATTATTATTATAAAAAACAAAATTGTATTTCCCCGGCAAAAGATCAAATAGTCTTTCTTTCATTAATTATGTATGTTTAATGGGTTGATTTCTTACTGCTTATATTGTGCATGTGTGTTTGAATTGGTTGATTTATTAGTTCTTGCATTTTTAATTATGTATGTTTAACTATTACAGGTTATTATTGAATGGGTTGGTTTTATACATGAGTTGTGAATGTTTTATACAAGTGGTCCACAGCCTTTGAGTGGCTAGATGCCTAGCCCTTGAGGTCACTTGTGTTTGTTGGGTTTGGGAGTGAGTGTAGACTAAATATAGAACAAGTACATGAGATAGCCTATGGTCTAGAGCTCTCTAAGTTGCCATTTGTTTGGGCCCTTAGGAAGCCCCTCGATAGAGTTTCAATATTTTGACCCCAAGTGTCTTGCATATTTTTGTGCACTTCTGACTCTCAAACTTCACTCGTAGTTTATCCATTAGGCTACATAGCATGCACCTCTTGAAATGTTCATTGATTAGTAAATTTATTCTATTCTACATTTTGCATTTTTTTTTTTTTTTGAAAAGATCTTTTTGGTTCCAATGCCATGATATGAAACATTTTGCATTTTTCTTTTCACTGTTAATGAGCACTATATATTTTGAGAAAAGTTGTCAAAAAAAATATATTGACAAAGTGAATGCACAAAAACAAAATCGTGGAAACACAAAATCGTGGAAATACAAAATCGTGCAAACAAAAAATTGTTACAAGAATTAGATAGAGACTACAAATCTCACAAAGGTAGACTACACTTCTCTATGGATTTTGCTTGTCTTCACGCATGTCCATGCTTCTTTGTAAAAAAAGAAACTATGTGCACATATTCTTTGCAAAAAAAAAGAACCAAAAAATAAGTTACATGACTGCCACTGATTTAGGAAACTTCAAAATGATATACGCTTCATAAAAGTTACATGACTGCCTCTAATTTTAGAAAACTTCAAGATGATATATGTCCCATGATATTTCTTTTGGTAACGACTATAGGCCGGTTTGGAAACCAAAATGCAATTTTATCATGTGGTGTTAGTGGTGGACATAAGAAAAATGTAACTTTTGCTAATGGGAGGAAAGCCAGTATTTTATCTAATCCAATACAGATACCCAGTTCTTCTTTAACTTCCCAAGAGGTTATCAAACACAGAAACCAGGAACTTTTTAACTTCTCAGAAGATTATCAAACACAAAAAAACTTTCTAATGAGGTTATCAAACACAGAAACCAGGAACTTCTTAAGTTCACATAACTTAAGAACTTCCAATTTACAATTCCTAAACTTGCTTACAATTATCAAACAGGCCCTTATAGGAAGAAAGGGGCACAATAATCAATACGCCCGCATACCCTAACAAAAATTAAACAATCACACAACCTCCATTCAAACAATAACTGAAAATTAGAAAGAACGTGTGGAGAACATTATTAAGAATCACAAGAGCAAACTAGAAAGAGAAATAGAGAGGGAGAGAGTCGTTGGAGATTGTCAAGGAGTATTGAGAGCATAGTTAGCAAGTCGCCGATTTAATTACGACTTTTTAAAAAAAGCTACGTTTTTTTTAAATATGATTTAATATGTGATCTTTTCAATAGATTGGTAAAAATACGCGATCTTTTCAGGAAGAAGTTTAAAACACGACTTTTTCAAAATTTGAAAAAATCGTTTCAAAAAATCTTTCCTATTAATATACTCTAATTTTTATTTTTTTGGAAAGTTCAATATCTTTTTCCTATTTTATGAAATTTCTATTTCTATTTTTATTTCTGTTCTCCCAAAACATTCTCTGGTTCTCTGCTATGGATATGGTGCGTATTTTTTTGGGTGGTTATGAGTAGACCATAGTTAGCAAGTATGGGGTAGATAATTTCTTTCTAGAAAGATGAAAATTGAATTCACCTATCCAATACTTATCTTGACGAATAGAATAGATAATCATCTTATGATTTAGAGATATATCACATTGAATATTTGATATTTATATTTATAGGGAGGTCATTTTTATACCGAGTGATATATATAAAGTGAAAGCATTACTCCTCACTGCTATTAATTTTTTCTATACTATGTATTTCTTCGGGCGGTTATGGGTAGACCATAGTTAGCAAGTATGGGTAGACAATTTCTTTCTAGAAAGATGAAAATTGAATTCACCTACCCAATACTTATCTTGACAAATAGAATAGATAATCATCTTATGATTTAGAGATATATCACATTGAATATTTAATATTTATATTTATAGGGAGGTCATTTTTATACTGAGTGATATATATAGAGTGAAAGCATTACTCAGTGAAAGCAGTACTCCTCACTGCTACTAATTTTTTCTATACTGCATATTTTTTCGAGTGATTATGGGTAGACCATAGTTAGTAAGTATGGGTAGACAATTTCTTTCTAGAAAAATGAAAATTGAATTACCTACCCAATACTTATTTGACGAATAGAATAGATAATCATCTTATGATTTAGAGATATATCACATTGAATATTTGATATTTATATTTATAGGGAGGTCATTTTTATACTGAGTGATATATATAGAGTGAAAACATTACTCCTCACTACTATTAATTTTTTCTATACTGGGTGATATATATATTTAGAGTTTTAAAATTTCTAATATTGTAAATATATTCGATGTTTTGAGCTTAGTCCGATATATTCGCGATCTCTTTACATGAAGTATTTTTGCCAATCCATGTTTTTTACCCGATTTTTTTAATCCGACTTTTAAAAATAAAAAAGATTAATTTCCAATTTTATGTTAAGCCGATTTATTGATAATCCCCGACTTGCTAACTATGATTAAGAGCCATGTTCTAGTTGGTGGGAAGCATAGTACGTGTGAGTATAAATAAGAAAGTGTGAGAGTATAAATAGGGCAGTTTGAAATTATTGGTGGTGTGAAGTACGTGTGAGAGTATAAATAGGAAAGTGAGAGTACAAATAAGAAAGTTAGAAATTCGTGGTGTGAGGTACGGGTGAGAATGTTTATAGGGAAGTTTGAAATTAGAAGCAAAAAAATAGGAACGTTTTAGGAAAATGGTTTTTTGGAATGAATGCAGTAAATTTTGAAATTGCATGCACAAAAATACGAAATTTTTCTAAAAACGTTTTTTTTAAAAATAAATGGAGTTAAATTTGAAATTGGATACACAAAAATAGAAAAGCTTTAGAAAACAATTTAGGAAAGTTTTTTAAAAACGGTTTTCTTTAAGATTTTTTCTTTTTTTATTCTTCAAACTTTTATTGGTAGTAAGCCAAAAGAAACATATGTTAAATTATATTTTAGATAGAAAAAGAAAGATTGGGTTTTTAGAGAGAGAGAATGGGATAGAGAGAGAGATTTGGTTTTTAGAGAGAAAGAGGGCCTTCTAAAGAAAGAATGGGTTTTTAGAGAAAAAGAGATATAGTTTAAGAGAATGAGATATTAGGTTTCAAGAGAGAGAGCATGAGTTTTATAGAAAGAAAGAGATTGGGTTTTTAGAGACAGAATGAGTTTTAGATATAGTAAAAAAGATTGAGTTTTTAGAGAGAGATATTGGTTTCTAGAGAAAATGCATTTTTAAAGAGAGAGAGAATGAGTTTTTAAATAGAAGAGAGAGATTGAGTTTCTAAAGAGAAAATTAGTTTTAAATTCTATAAAAAATATTTGAGTATGCATTTATTTTTGCCTTACTACAAACAATAAAAATTTGAAGAGTGGAGTTCCTTTTTTTTAAAAAAAAAAGCTAAATGAGCTGATTCTAGGCCTTTATAGACCGGCCCGACGCCCGGACCAGCCCGTTAATAGGTCCGCGGGAGGCCCGTTAGCTAGCATGTCGCAGTAGCCCAAGGCCCGGCCCTATCCATTGGCAGCCCTAGGATAAGGTGGGCACCTTATACAAACCTCACTCTTTTTAAAATTCCAACAAAATGAGAATCATATGCAAATTAACCCTTAAAAAAAAGGGTTCAGGTGTCATACAGATGCATCCGTAGATGTAGAGGTAAGGTGTGCCTTCAAATTTTATCATAGTATATAATTTTGAAGTAAAATGTTCTTAAGATTATCTCAAAATCTATTTTTATATCTAATTATAAAATTTTAAATTTAAAAAATGGTTAAAATCAAGTAGATCTATAAACATATGAAAAATCTTGAAAATGGACGGTGTAGATAATATGTTGTAAAATGTATTATGTCCGAGACTTCAAATCTTTTTATTTTTCATGGTGATACATTTTTTATGTCGATCAATCAAAGGGTTTTTCAACATTAAAATTACATTTTTCAATAGATTTTTGAGGTGCATCTGTAGCGCTACATTATAAGGTTACAACCTCATATAAACTTTTTCCTAAAAAAAAAGAGAGTAAAAAACCTGGGAGCACTATGTACGTAGGAGCACTATGTGTGTAGGGCAAGCAACGGGTTGGGCCTGGCCTAGTACGTATACGGTGAGACCAAGTCCGACCCTGTCTGGCCAAAGGGGCCTTGGCACTATCATGGTTGGGCCAAGCCAAACAAATTAAAATGGAAAAGAAAAAGAAGATCGGTCAGGGTGAGCCTGGGCGGGCCTATTGTGGCCTTAGCCCTAGCCGGTCCCCACCCGGTCCACAGGGTACCCTGGCCCGTCTCGGGCTGCATTTTCGGACAAGGCCCTAATTTTTAGGGCATGGCCGACGGGCCAATCCGACGGCCCACTGCTACCTCTAGCCGCTGCCAGTTCTCTCACGAACCAATACATTTTCGGCCCCGTGTGCCTTCCTTTGAGGAGCAGAGGAAGTGGACATTTTGGTCTTCCTTCGACTGCTGGGGGCTGCACCATTTGAGAGAGAGGGAGAGCACCCCACTGTTCTACGTTTGGCTGTCATGGACCTTATTTGATGAGAGAGATATGGGCCTTCTTCGATGAGAGAGAGAGAGAGATGGGCCTTATTTGATGAGAGAAGAGAGAGAGAGAGAGCTCGACTCCAAATATAGGGATTTTCCGCCAAAAATAGATGAGAGCTTAAATGGTAAAATAGGACCAAATTCAGAGTCTGGTGCACGCGAGACCATCTTCATTGATTCCCAGTCCGCTGTTTCAGCGCACCAAAACCACGAGTTCAAATCTCACTCTGTCCCCCCTTTGTCAACTACTCAACTTTTGTTTGATTTTTAACCGAGATTTCGTTTTCTTACTATTGGAAACCGAAATTTCGTCACATTTTATCGTTACTTTCGCTTCTGAAGTAGGTACATTTATTCGGGACGCAAGTTGCAGAGAACAGTATATTTGCATTCCTTTTCTTCACCTTTTTGGGTTATTGAATCATTATGGACACAGACTCCAGATGTTTTGCCATGGCGGTGCTTTGACGATTGCTCGATTCCCGTTTCTTTACTGCAGAGGGTTCAAATTAGAGAACAAGTTTTCAGTTTCTCACTCTTCGAGAGTAAGAGTTTCTCTGTCTACCAGAATCAAAATGTCTGCTTCAGAACATGCTGATGATCGTCTCCAAAGGATTTCTTCTTCAATTCGAGTCATACCCAACTTCCCAAAACCAGGTATTCTTTGCGCGCGCCCAATTGTTCTCCCCCTCTCTCTCTCTCTCTCTCTCTCTAATTAAGCAAGCTACTTAACTAAGTGCATCAGAACTCTGTATCTTCCATGTGGCGTTTGTTTCTCAATGCGATCTATAATATGAACACCAACTGTTGTTCTGCTGCCTCCCTCTCTGTTGTTTTTCAGTGATAACAAGGCATGTTAACCCTTTTCTTTAATATTAATTTACAGGGATCATGTTCCAAGACATAACTACATTGTTACTTGACCACAAGGCCTTCCGTGACACTATTGATATACTGGTGGAGCGGTACAAGGATAAGAATATTACTGTGGTTGCTGGTAATTGCTGATCCTTCTTATTCGAGTTACTCGGTGTTTGGGATCTTGTTTCTAGTATAAGAATTGCATTACTAATTACATAAAATCACTTTCAGCAGACTTATATACTAATCTCTAGCTGATTTTTTATTTGAAGAAGGTATATGATCTGATTTTGAGTTTAAGAGATGCAAGCATTCACAAAAAGCCAGGTTTCTTGGCCAAATTTTTGTGATTTAACTTACCAAGGGAGGGTCCATATGATTTTGTGACTTATATGATATATGCTGCTAGATTTGAGAGTAATTTGGAAAGACAAATTCTATGCTTAATTTTACCCAAAAAACAAGCCCCATGCTTAACCTCATGTAAAGTGAAGCTGCATCATAGCTTATGGAAAAAAGGATATGTGCTGTGACTGACTGATTCTTATGGAATGAGAACTCCTATTTCTTTCTGTGGAGTCCCCCGTGAAATGTCCATCACTGAGAACTAGATAGTGACCTTCAACTTCAAATAATGTAGAAAGTGACCTCATTTCGGACATTTGCTGCCGAGTATTGTTTCCCCTGCCTTGTTTTGGATTTGTACACCTCTGCTTCCTAAATGAGAATAGCTTGTTGAGGGAAGAAAGGAAAATGGTGCATGCTATGAATGGAAGAGGAAGAGAAACAGTGGTTTAATTGGATGAACATTGAAACAGACGACCAACTTTTGATATGTTAATGTTTTATATTATCCTTTGGTGTTGAAGCAGACTTCATTGATGTGGGTGCCCTAATTAGTGAGTTAAGAGTGAGAGGATCCTTGAGTCTTTCTTTGCAACTTCTTATATTATTTGTCCCTTGTCTCTGGCTTTATATACTAGTTTTGCATCTAAATTGGAATTCAATTAATGCTATTAGGAACAGAAATCAAGTAGACTTGCTATTAAGGCATTATACATTTTGTAGGCTACATAGTTAATTGATTTTGATAGTGCATCTATGTCAAATTTAGGAACATGATTCATATAGGCGACCCCAAATAACTGGGATAAGGCTTGGATGATGATAATGATTTGTGTCACATATAACCTGGAGATATAAGAAATGATTATTGAGTTGTTACAGTGAGACTATATAACATTATGATTTTCTCCGACATTTAAAAACATGATATTATTTTTTATTTGCATATTGTAAGGATGTTATGGAATCTTTGCTTACTTGATTGTTCTAGTTGTTAACATGTTTGGTTAATGGATTGAACTACCTGCTCAAGTGGTTTTTCATCACATGATGTATTGGCATGAATCTCGGGACCAAGAATCATATGATTATGTTCCATAATTCCTAAGATTCTAAACTTAGCATTAGGAATACAATGGATTAGAATGTTAACTTTAGCTTGAATTGTTATCAATATCAGATTTTGTGCAATATTATTAGAATTTCATCAATTTTCTGTTCTGACATTGGTTTGAATGTTTTGGAAATATAAGCGGGGGAAAATTGAAGTAGCTATACAATAATATCTATACAATGACTTTATTATTTGATTCTTGCAGGAGTAGAAGCAAGAGGCTTTATTTTTGGACCCCCTATAGCCTTGGGTATTGGAGCAAAATTTGTTCCATTGAGGAAACCAAAGAAGTTGCCTGGTATCAAACCTTCAGCAATACCCATCTTTCTCTTCTATATATGATTAGCAGAGAAATTGTCATTTCTTAATTTATTTTCCCTTGATCGCTTTTGGTACTTGTATGATTGTCCCTTTGAGATGCCCCTTTCAGAAAGTTATTATGCAAAAGGCTGCCTTCTTTTTCACATGGAAACCTAGAGTGTGGTGGTACCATTAGGTTTACTCATAATTTTAAAAAGCAGACCGCTCAGCGCCTAGGCGGTTCAGAAGGCCTGGGTGCATCGCCCGGGCCTAGGCGGCCAAACTAGGCGGATATCCCTTGGCGCCCGCCTAGGCGCCCGGGAACCCGCCTAGGCGCCTGTCTGAACCTGCCTAGGCGGCCGCCCAGGGCCTACACACCGCTCAAGGGCAGAAATGTGGCTCCTTGAGGGTATTTTTGGGTTATTTTTTTAATACTAACGGGGCAAAATTGTGGGTTTTAGGTTAATTTGAAATCTAAAACCAATTAGAGGCTAGTTTAGATACAGAACCCCAAAAAAAAAAATTTCTACTAGGCCACCCAGGTTCTAGGTTCTGGGCACTGGGCGGCCTAGACCCCCCCCCCCTCCCTGACTGCCTACGTGCCGCCTAGTGCTTTTTTAAACACTGGGTTTACTTTAACGAAGTGAGCACCTTTTTGTATTTTGGTGAACTTGTTGGGAACTTCTAGGCTTTATTGTGCATATGTGCCTATTGATTCGTTTGCGTTTTATCCTGCTGCATTAAAGCTCTTTAAATTCAATACTCTTGGTTTAGCTAAACTTATTTCTTCCTATGGTTTTTCTTGGTGCTTTTTCCCATTTGGTTCTATGATTTCCATAGGTGATTTTGAATGCAATGTATGTTTGTTATCTGTATGGTATGACCTTTGTCGGAATTGTCTTTATTGGATGATGTAGTTCTCTTATATCTTTAACTACTGTGATTTCCCAAATAGGTGAAGTCATCTCCGAAGAGTATTCGCTAGAGTATGGAACAGATCGAATGGAGATGCATGTAGGAGCTGTACAACCAGGAGATCGCGCACTTGTTGTGGATGATCTTATTGCAACAGGAGGGACCTTATGTGCAGCATTGAAGTTATTGGGTAATCTTCGGCTTGAGTGGATATTGTAAATTATCTAAAAAAAAAAAGAAAAACTGAACTCTTACTTGTTCATGTGAACATCATACAAAATCATCTGAGCATATCGATTGCATTTCTGATATTTGTTTGTTGTAATCTAACTTAAAGAGTTGGAAGCTAGAATCCTGCAAGCTCCTTTGCCCATTGTTCTGCAACGTCCTCTTGTGTCTGAGCTATGTTGTTTTGGTAGGAAGGGGTTAAAATTGATCCGGCTAAGGTGGAAGCCATCAAGAGCTGGCCGATCTAAGTTTCACAGTCTCGCTTCATTTTATAGGAGATTTATAAGAAATTTCAGCAATGTGATTGCCCTTATCACTTAAGGGGTATTTAAATGCACTCTAGAGGCAGAAGAGAGCTTCCAAGTTGTAAAGGCGAAGGTGATTCATACACGTGTTAGTGCCTGACGATTTTGAGGTCTTTGAGGTGGATTGTGATGCATCCCATGTTGGAATATGAGTGCGTTGAGCCAGGAGGAGCATCATGTGGCCTTTTTTAGTGAAAATTTGAATGATGCTCATTCAGTACAATGTCAAATTTTATGTGATTGTTTAAGCTCTTCAACATTGGAGACATTATTTGATTAAGAGGGAGTTCGTGTTGTATTCAGACCATGAGGTATTGAGATATCTTAACTCTTAGTGTACACTAAATAGTCAAAATACCAAATGCATTACATTCTTACAAGAATACACATTTACCCTTAAGTAAAATCTAGAGTTCACCATAAAGTGGCAGATGCATTTCTATTTCATGGGACTCGATTATGCATTCTAGAGAGTTCTCTTCGTGAGAACATCATTCTTGTGCTTCACAGTGGGGGTCTTGCTGGACATTTAGGTCAAGACAAGACTATTCTGTTGGGTAGAGAAGAGGCATTTTTGGCCTAGATTGTAGCACGACGTGAAGTGGTATGTGGAACTTTGTTAAGTTTGTCATGTTCTAAAGGTCAGACTCACAATACTGGCCTCTACACCCCACTTTCCATTTCAGATGTTCCTTATGAAGACGTCAGCAAGGACTTTATGCTAGGTTTACCTAGAACAACTAAGAGTTATGATTTTGTGTTTGTAGTGGTGGACCATTGTTTGAAAATGGCACATTTTATTCGTTGTCAAAAGACCTATTCCGCATCTAATATAACAAATCTTTTCTTTAGAGAAGTTGTTGGTCTTCATGGTGTACCTAAGTCGATCACCTCTGATTGATATATCAGATTCTGGAGTCATTTTTTGGATAACACTGTAGTCAAAACTAGGTAGAACTCTATAGTTCCACAGTGCATATCATCCGGCAGACTGAGATAGTCAATTGTAGTTTGGGAAATTTGTTGAAATATCTTATATGTGAGAAGCTGAACCTGTGGGATTTGAGCAAAATTTGCTTTTAATAGCTTTGTCAACGAATCGACTAAGAAGTCTCCTTTCGAGATAGTATGTGGTTGCTCCATTCCACACATATTAGACCGTGTTCCAGTACCTTATGTGGGGAGGAGGAGTGTCAAAGCCAACGACTATGCCCATGCCCAACACATCAAGGAAGTGCAAAAGGAAGTTCTTGATAGGTTGAGAGCCAATTGTGCCAAGTATAAGGAGATTGCAGATGAGCATCAACGCTATAAATCATTTTCTGTAGGGGACTCTGTCATCGTATATCTGAGGCGTTAGAGGTTTCTTATTATGATATCAACAAAGGTTTAAGCATACTGGATTCTCAAGAAGTTGGTAATAGTGCTTATCTCTTTGAGTTTTGTGAGGACCTCCACAGGTCGTCAGTCCTTAATATTGCTGATCTTTATGAGTTTCAAGGTGACCCACCTATACTCTTCGATGTTGTTCGGGCTGTTGGTACATGCCCTGGTTCATACAAAAGACACTTGGTTCGTCAAAAAGATCACCTGTTGGTTGATTGTTCATGGACTGATGAGCATGTGTTATGGAGGCGGCGGGAGGATCTTTATCTTCATTACATGGAGGCATACATGACGGCGTCGAGCTCTTCCCAACCTGGGGCTAATTGCACTGTGGCCTTCTATTGAATTAATGTTGGCAATGGGCCCGGCCAGCCTTGGCCCTGGACTGACCGTTGTTTGCATTGGGCCGGCTTTGGTGCTATTAGGGCCAGGCTGGGTTGGGCCGGGCCATCAACAAATGAAGAAAAAATAAAAGAAAAAACAAGAACAAAGAGTCTGTCAGGGACGGGCTCTAGCCCAGCCCTCGGGCCACAATTCGTGTCCCATTCCCTACTTTTTTTAGGACCGAGCCAAGCCAGACCTCCCGGCCCATTGCCAGCCTTATATGGGACTAATTTAATTTACTTATGTGATAAAGGGTTTAATTTTTTAGAGTGAAAGCCATGTTATTTTGACTTCTAATTATTTTAGTTATACTGGGGTATTCATGTCTTTTGGGAGTTGTGGAGAATTCAGGGCAGTTTGGTCATTTAATTATTTTAGCTTAGCGAGGGGTGTATTTTTAAAATCTTTTTTTTTAAAACAGTTATGTATAAGGAGAGAGAAAGATGTCTAGCCCTTCAAGATTGTTTATTTTGGAGAAATTTGTGAAAAAAGAAACCCAAGAAAGGGCTTCTTGAAATCTTAGTTGAAGGCTATAACGAAGGCTCGGTATCACCTCCTAGGCTTCCTCCCTTCCAAGATTTCAGTCTATTATAGATACGGAATCTCATCTCCTAGGCATTAAAATATGTTTCTAAAATTGCATGTTGATTTTTTCAAGTTTGTTTACTCAGTTTTGTGGATCAATACCTGCTGAATTTGTTGATAATTCACCTTAGTTTAATTTAAAGTGTTCTCAAACTTGTTTTAGAGTATTGTAATCGAAGATTTGCAAGCAGCTGATGTGAAGTTACATCAATTTTTAGTTGATATGACCTCATGTGGCTCTGGAATGACTTGACATTCTTATTGGACTAATTTTGTTTTTTGCTAGAAACATATCTGCTTTTTTTACGAGTTCAAAGAACCTTACACTGACAAAGTCCATTGTTTCCAATACTGATGTTATCTAGTTGCCCATATGCTGATCCCGAAAAGAAAATTGTTTGCTTCTGCCCCTTGCTCCCACTCCCTTTTCAAACAACATTGTCAACCTTTGTAGTAACTAAGGTCTTAATGCTGACTCTTGCATAGACTTTCCCTGTTAACTATTGTATGACAATTTTGATTTTTCATGTGCAAGACATTTTCAGTACGATAATTCATGTCTCTCTTTATCAAATCCTAAATATATGGATGGAGAAAATAGTAAATTAGAAAGTGATGGAGGATACTTTGATTACACATGTTGTACAAATGCCACATGCCTAATGCTTTAAGGATCATGCCTTTAGGGAGAGAGTTGGGGGGAGTGGTAGATATGGAAGGGGATAAGTAGGAAGAGTCCAGGAAGTGGAAATAGGATATACAATGTGTTCTTACTATACTGAAATGGTTATTTAAGTCCTATATATATGAGTAATTAGGTGTTTGTGACCTGATACCCTTATTGGCAGTATTTGTTTTGAGGAAGTTAACAATTGTATTACTTAAAAAGAGAGGTATACATTATAATGATGAGAGTACCCACAGGGCCAGGTCTCTCGGCCAAAAAATAGGCCACATAATAGTAGCCCTGTACAAAACATATGGGGCTTATAAGAGATGCCCTATTACACGAGGTGTACAAAAAAGGAAAGGAGGTGCGCCAACAATGGTCTGGAGCAAAAAAGGAGATGGACCAGCAACACGAAGATAGATGAAGAAGCGCAACAAAAATGTTGTCGCTATGCGGGGGCTTCGACCTAGGCTTTGATGTAGGAGAATTTGAGGGAATAATAAAATTAGCAAGAAACAAGCCAAACACAAGCAATTGTGGAGAAAGCCTAAGGCTTTCTCCCACCTAGGGCTCAAACCTTGGGCTTCTTTTACAAGACAAAGTCTTTCTTTTCTTAAAGAGAAATAGATGAATGACTCTCCAGCCCATCCATGCCCTTATTTAAATTGAAAACTTATTGTTTTGGACTATATTTGTCCATACAATTTAACTTTTGACCAAAATGTCCTAACTTAAGTATAACTTGAAACTAAACTCCCTAACTTTAACTAAAATATCTAAAAAGTCCCTAAAATTCCTAGAAACTACAAAACCCTAAAACTAAAATCAAAACATATATCCATTAAAATTGAATAAAAATTAAAAATAAGTATAATTTTTCCCTCCATCACCCTTGCACTGTCCTTAGCCAGTTGGTCTGCTAAGGCGTTTGATGTCCTCCAAATATACATCCAAGAGATGGCTATATATATACAAGTATGCGCAATTCATCAAAAATTGAGGCGAGGTACCAAGGGGGTGGGGCAATTCCAGCAGCCCAAGAGATTGTTTTTGGCATCTCCCTCGACAAACAGTTGTGATCCCCACGATTGGTCGAACTTCTTTTGACCCAATAAGAGTGCCATAGACTCTGCAAGCTGAGAGTTTGTGTGACCAATGTACTTAGAAAAGGAAGCCAAAATATTGCCGTTGTGGTCTCGGAAGACCCCTCATGCTCCAGCTGGGCCTACGTTGTCGAGGGAGCATCTGTCGAAATTAAGCTTGATGATACCAGCCGGGGGAGCCACCAGTTGTTGGCTCTTGAGACCCGATGGGATTCGAGGTGGAGGATATCTTCCCATTTGCGAAGGAAGGTTGCTGCCAAGACTCCAGCAAAGGCCTTGTGGTTGGAAGCCCAAATGATTACTAGAGAAGTAATCTTATGGAAGAGCGCTGAAACTTGCACTTTAGACCTCAGAAAATTCTGGAATTTCTTTTGATCCAAAGTACCCAGATAGTTGTCGCGATGGATGCCTCCCAAAGAATTCTGCTTGCCTTCGGCCATTGAGAGTTGAACGAATATCTGAGTAGGGCCGGAAAGGAGGCAGGGGTAACCCAGGGGAGGCCAAACAGCCGGAGAATGTGACACTAGAG